GTAGTTTATGTCTAACTTCCAGAAGTCCAACTAAAGCGCTTTCTCTAAACTTTATGGTTAGTAACTTATCATTGATCACTCATTATTTACTTGTTGTAAGTTTAAAGAAGCCATCCACTTTGCACATGTTTATTTTGGATACCACGTAGCAGATGCTGAGAGTAATCTCAACAGGTGGCTTAGATTTTTCCGTGAGCTGCTTTTGATAATTTATAGGTGCAGTCAGTTTTCTACAGCTTGAGCTACGGTTAATCTTCATTCGGGATTTCCAATCCAAGTTTTTAATTATGCCTATTTCTAAAAATATTTATTTTTTAGTAGTCACCTTAATATGCCCAAAATCTTACTTTCTCCTGTCTCTTTTTCCTGTCTTTTTTGAGTAACTATTCTGTGGTAACCCCAATTCCGTTCGTAGGAATGAGCGCACGTTTATTCAAAAAAATTTGCAAAAATCCTATCATAGCAAAGTCTCGTAGATCTCTAAAGAGCATTCGAATATACTGGAATCTTTCTTTCGTTGGCTTCCAAAAGATGGACCTATTGGGGACAATTGTTGACTGGAAGCAAAAAAGTGGAAGGAGACAAGGCAAGTAAATGACCGCTGAGTGGTGCTACAAAGCGAGTGTTTTCCGAAGGTTAACTTTACAATAAACAAAAACCCAACAAAAGTAAGCCCAGCTTACAGAAGAAAGAAATTTGTCGAATCTCAATGATTAGAACATTATGTGGGTTCATAGGTTCATTTGAACATTATACAATAAAAATCTGCAGAAAGTCCTTTTTCACCGCAAATTTTTGTCAAAAATATTTTTTCCTGTTCTATGTTACCAGGTCAGCATGCCGCGATGTCTTTCTTTTTCCCTTCCAGTCTTTACATTTTTTTCCGCACTTTGCTGAGTTTTTGTTTATTGTAAAGTTAACAGTTGGAAAACACTCGCATTGTTGCAGCAGCTCTCAGTTAGGTCACTTACTTGCCTTGTCTCCTTCCATTTTTTTGTTCAATATTTGCTTAAGTGTCAGAAGGAGGGCAACTGCTATTTACTTTTTCCTTCATAAGTATTTATTTGTTACCAGCTTTCCTCATCCTGCTGAAATTTAACATGGCTAACTTAAAATATTAACAACGTTCAACCTGAAATTCCTTCGAAGAAGCTTTCTTT